CCCATAATAGATACTAATGCAATGAAAACCTTCAAGGAACTTGTCCAAGAAGAAAAAATTTCAACAGATGTTAACATACTAGTCATTGGAAGAACAGGACAAGGAAAGTCTGCACTAGTCAATAGCCTCATTGAGCTGGGCATAGAAATTGTGTCTGAGGGATCATATACCGATAGCTGCACACAAACGTCGAAGTCTTAAACCTACCCAAATGCCATTCCTGGTGTCAATGTCACAATAATTGATTCTCCTGGTCTGCAAGATATTCAAAAAAAGGAACAAAAATATATTCAAGGAATGAAGAACGAGTGTCATGAGATCAGTTTGGTCCTCTACTGCATGAAGATGACAGATCATCGATTCACAAATGATGACAAAGTTGCTATGCAAAAGCTCCATCAAGCATTTGGTCAAAATTTCTGGGAGAGGGTGGTGTTTGTTCTAACCTTTGCAAATACAGAAACGCTGAAGAAATGGGACAGAAGAGATAAAGATGACAGAAGTAAGGAGCCTCGTAAGGATGACAGAGATGCTTGGGAAAAGCTGAAAAAAGAATGACTGACTGGTAGAGTTCAACATCGTAAGGAACAATTAAATGCATTTGTCACTGAGCTCCTACAATTGCAACGTAAATCAGAGCAGAGTCAAGATACAGCCCAGAATGCAAGGTTTGAAGTTCTTCCAGCTGGATATTATGACCCAGAATATGATGATATTCCTCGTGACATCAACTGGCAGCGTGACCTTATTGCTTTTTGTTGCAATACAATAAAGCACAAGCACAGATTGTCAAAACTAAAACTAAATAAAAGTAAGAACAATATCAATTACATGCACAATAGAATTTTGTAATATTTTATAGAGATTGCTTTAGCTGTTATCATTGATAATCGTGGAGAGGTTAAGGTGGAGAATGAAGAAAAAATATTAAATGATGAAGCAGCAGCTCTCAAAAAAGCTTTTGAAAATCTTGATTTTGCTGTTCTTTACTTCAACAGCCTCTCCTCAGAATCAATAGCTACCTTGCTTGAAGCAATAAGTAAAGTAGATCATTCCCAATTATCGATGATAGCTCTAGTATTTCTCAGTAAAGGGAAGACTGCTGAGCTTTATGATGCTAATGACTTGGTTGTGCCTTATTCAGCTTTGTTTTCCCATTTTGAAAGATCCCCCATACCAGCTATATTCTTTTTTGATTCATTACATGATGATAAAAACAAAAAGGACGACTCCAAAATTGATGATACCATGGCAGAGAATAAAAATGGTTTTCATTTGCCTCTACATGTTTGCCCCCAAAGTTCTCTAGTTCTTGCTGCTACACACAATTCAGCATCATCTCCTGTAGTGAAAGAGTTTACAGAAAAGCTGAGCCACACCAGTGTCCAAGAATGCTTTGAAACAATATGTGCTAATAATAATAGCACTACTGTGAAAAGCATATGGCATGACACTGTTAGGAATTACTTATTTATTATCAAATCAATTTATGACAAGTAGGTGACATTTATTTGAAATTAAATTTAAAATATTGATAGGGTTGAAACTCTTGAGCAGAAACTGGAAATATACCATTCAATATGGTACCCGATCCGTTGCAAGACAATAGATAATTTTAAAGAAAGCAAAGAAGAAATCTTGGCAATGATCAATAAAGCAAGGACAATTCAAAAAGTAGGTCTTTCAGGCACAGCAGTATCTAATGCCCTAGTTATAACAGGAGCAGTTCTAGCTCCTGTTACTTTTGGTGGGTCTCTTGCATTAACTGCAATAGGAAGTGTTGTAGGGTTAGCTGCTGCTAGTGGGGGTTTTGCTGCAGTTGCTTTAGCAGTTTGCAGTATGAAAAAGTTAAAAAAAAGCACAAGCAGTTATTGAACTAGATCAGCAGATTAGTTTGATAATTAATGAAGATGCCCATAAATATTATCAAATGATGACGCAACTTACATCTCATTCAGCTGAGGCAGGGAATACGGAAAAAACAGCTGCAGCTGCTGTACATCCTACTGATCATGTTGCTGAAACGACTGGAGCCTCGTCAAATTCAGCTGTAACAGATAGTTTGATTACATATCATAGCTATCACATACACAAAATAAGAAATGATTCCT